AAATATGCATTGACCCAACGATAATAGCTCCCCTCCCGAACTATCATCCTACAATGACATACTCGCAATTCAATAACATAAATCATGCTCATACATCAACATATCATCATTACAATTTACATAAATTAACATAACATCATCATCAATTGTGCACATATTCATCATTCATCAAACACTACATAAAATTCAATTAAAATCATGTTTAATTGTTAAGTCATCCTAACATATCATTCCAAAGAGAATTAACTGAGCATAACAATACTATAAACATTCACAAAAGTTGAAAGAATCAAAATATGCAATTTAACATCATTAAAACAAGTATTTTCATTCACTACAAACTTATGACGGGTTACCCGTCACGGTAGTGACGTCGTTACTGACCTCAAAAATCTAAAACGTCACACGTGCGACAACCGACTTGAAATGTAAGCCTGGGAAGCATGACAGATTACCCGTCATGATCGTGATGCCCGTCAGCGCCCTGAAATCTGCAAAATTCGCTTTTGCTAATGAAGTTCACTACAGAACTCCTATTTTCTCATTTCACCCATACAATTTTAATACATGAACATCACACACATGTTATATATTCATTAGTAACATCCAATTGCATTAAATCAACACTTTTAATTTATAGTTTTTATAAAATTATGTTAATCCCAAAACCTTCAAACATACAACAATGGTAAAAATATGTTAACTCCTCATAACATAATTTGTCATACAACATAGTACACGAATTTCATCACCAATCATCATCATCATCATATATAACAATTCAAACGCAAATAGCATAATTATGTTAAAATCCCAAATCCCTAATGAAGGTTAAAGACTCCTTAATTCTACCTCTCATACATATACATATTATTGAGATAGTTCTCCCCCTTATCTGGTTATCCTAGCATTGAAATTTCGGGTTTGATGAGTCTCCTTCCTCAAACTCTAAGCTTTTCCTCTCCTTTTAGTCTTCTAGCCTCTTATTCTCTAATTCTATTTTCATGTCATGTTTAGAATCCTCCCATAAACCTAGGTTATCCCCTAATTCATATAATTAGGGTAATCTAGTTAAAATTATAAACTCAACTCTCACTTACTAACATTCTCACTCCTTCCTCCCTTCTATTTTTCATAATTCTCAATTCAACCCCAAACTCTCTATTTTACATTTAGTTATTTAAATTAAAATAAAATATTATTATTTTAATTATTAGAATAATCTATAATAATTCTAGCCCACTTCTACCAATCTCTAATTACTTCTACACTCCCATCTCGAGGTCACACATCCTCATCACCAAATTAATTCAATTATCACACATAATAATTAAATTAAAATTCAGATAAATCAATTAAAATACTAACTCAAAAACTAGGGTGGTAGAAATTACATTTGATGACTTTGATGATAGCGTTGATTTTTTGGATGAGGAAATGGATAACCTAATTGACTACGAAGATGCTCAGTAGGGTATTACCGATAAAAAGAAACACAAGTGGGATGCACACGAAGAGAAAGAACACACATAGGATGTTAACGGGAGTGAAAATGAGAATGAATGGTTGGATAATGGATGTGAAAGTGATGAGAATAGAGGAACTACTAGGAAAAAGTATCTAGTTTTCAAGTTGCTGGAAGACATGGCTAATTATAAGTGGGAGTTAGGAACATATTTTAGTACCAAATGTGATTTTAAGAAAGCAATAACAACTTATGTTGTCCAGTCTGGTAGGGGCCTAAAATTCACAAAAAATGACAAAAAAAAGGATTAGGGTTAGATGCAAAGTGGGTTGTGAATGAGAATCCTATTGTACCAAGTTTCTAAAGGAGGAGACTTTGCAACTTCGAAAAGTAATTTTCATCCATAGTTGTAGTAGAGAATATAATGTCAAGTTGATGACTACAAAGTGGTTGAGCAAGAGGATTTAAAACTGCTTAAAGAATAATCCTAATATGAAGATTAATGATGCAAAGGAAAATGCATAAAGGAAATGGAATGTAGGGGTCAACAAAACAAAGGCAATTAAAGCAAGATTTGCAGCAAGAGACACGACGGATGATTCCTTCGTGAGGGAATTACACTATAATTTATGACTATTTTCATGAAATTCAAAGAACAAATCCTAGGTCATCAGTTAACTTAAATTCCAATATGTGGAAGAAGGAATTGAAGATAAAAAGTCTCATTTCAAAAGGTTGTACTGATCTCGATGAATGTTTTTTAAAGGGTTTGTGTGAAGGAAAAATATCAGTAACCATTGGTAGAGATCCTAATGATCAGATACTATCAATATTATTTGTTGTTGTTGAAGGGGAGACAGAATATCTGATCATGGTTTTTGGAACTTTTGATTAATGATCTTGGATGTAGGGATGAATGTCTTTCCTACACTTTTATTTTTGATTAACAAAAGGTATGTTGTATTTTAATTTTAATTGTATTCATGTATTTTATATTGTATTATATGTTATATTGCAGAGTCTGTTTCTTGATATGGACGAGCTTCTCTTTGGGATTGAAAAAAAGTCTTGTGTGAGGCATTTGTATAATAACCTTAGGAATAAGTATCCTAGAAATCTGTTAAAAGGAATCATATGGAAGGCTACAAAATCAACTTACCCGCATACATGATAAAGAGAAATAAAGGCAATGAAAGTGGTCAATGTAGATGCTTTTGTGCATATAATGAAGACTCCACCCATGTTTTGAAATAAATAACTGTTTATGACACATACAAAATGTGACTCTGTTCTTAACAACATGTCATAAGCATTTAATAGTGTGATTCTAGAATCAAGGGGTAAGCCATTAGTGACTATGGTGGAAGAAATCAGAACCTACATAATGGAGATGTTTTACCCAACTTTAAAAGGAAAATTGAGATAATCAATACATACACCAACTTTTGGTTTGCAAGGTAATTTTCCAATGCTTGTTATTCACTTGTTAATTTTGACTCACTAGGTCACCTAAACTAATTTTATGTAATATGTTGTAGGATGTCAGCTAAATATATATTTGAGGTTAGGCACATTGAAATTCCAAGAGAAATGTCAACTTAAAGGATTGTATATGCTCATGCAGAAAATGGGAGCTCAGAACCCGACCATGTGCTCATGCAATATCATTAATAAAAAGTAGGAACCCTAATATAGATGACTTCATCCCTAAAATATACAAGAAATTCAAATATCAAGTAGTCTACAATCTTGTCATATATTTTATCGATGACTCAAATTTGTGGGTTAAGATAGAGTATCTAGTTGTTGAACCACCAAAGTACAGAAAAATGCCAGGAAGACTTAAGAAGAAAAGGAACCTTACGCAATAAGAAATTGATAGATCTAACCATAAAATGAGAAGAATTGAATTTATCTTGAAGTGCAATAGGTGCAAGCAAACAAGTTACAATAAATCAACTTATAAGATGACACCGAATACTCGACCAAATCAGGGCAATCAACAAAGTCAGCAAACTTATGGCAATCAACAAAGTCAACAAACTTATGACAATCAACCAAGTCAACAAACTCAAGGCAATCAACCAAGTCAACAAACTCAAGACAATCAACTAACTCAAGTAGATGAACGATCTCAAGCAAGTCAGGCATTTAAACAAAATTAAGGAAAAACACCTAAGTTGAATGTTAGGAGGGCACCAACATCTTTTGTATCCTCATGTCGTACTGTTAGATTGAGTGTAGTAAGATATGTAGTTGTGCCAACTACTAGGAGGACAATTCCATTAAAAAGGACTACACCAAAAAAGAAGACCATTTAATTTATTTATGTGCACTCTTATATTACTTATGTTTGTTTGGACAAACATTTTTGCTTTTTTTTAATTTCAATTGGAATGAGTTGTGTTCTTTTTTTTATGTCGATTGCAACAAGCTAGATTTTTGTATATGTTTATGAACAAGGTAGATGCTTTTTGAATGTTAATTACATGCTTTTTGAATGTTAATTACATGCTTTTTAAATTTTAACGAACAAAGTTATGTTTTTTTATACCAAAATGAACAGTTATTTTCTTAAATATGTTTCCATGTTATGAATCAACTAAACTGCGGTATGAATAAAATTATGTTCTAATATAAATAAATTAACTATGGTATCAACAAAGTTATATTCTAATATAAATATAGAAACTCTGTTATTAAATATGTTTTCATGTTAAATATGCATAGATTCAAACATAATCTAATCTAAACATAAGTACTTCAAAAAGTAATCTTGTATAAACCAAAATCTAATTTAAACATAAACCTGATTAAAAAGATTCTGATATAAATTCATTCAACATTGAATTAGAGTAACTTTGATACATAGCATCGTTACAAGAACAAATACATATAGTATAACTGAAACATATTAACATTTGAATTTAAAAGAGTAGCTAGCATTTTAAAAATTATAATAAAACTCATTATTCTAATATATATCATTCTATTTAAATTCTATTTAAAAAGTGCATTATATATCAATATATTTAAATAAATAGCCCTACTTATATTTAAACGAGATTAAGTTTAATTATAATATTTAACATTAGATTAAAAAAAACTAATTTATATAACATTATATTTTGATTTTAGTTTATAATAATAAATTTGAAAATGTAAAAATAAAAATATTAATGAAAAAAGATAAAATTATTGAAAAAATTTAACAAATTTTAAAATTATCCAAAGTCAGCCCTAATGCCCAATTCAATTAAAATCGACTTAATTCTAACATAAAAAAAAATGGGGTGAGAGAGGCTCGAACTCTCGACCTCAGGATAACTCTTAGCTATGAGACCTACGCGCTAGCCAACTGCGCCACCACCCCAGTTGTTTAAACCTATATAATTTACAGCTTTGACAGTCAAACGACAATTAAATAAAAACTAGCACAAATTTAATTAATTTATTTTAAACCTAACAGGAAGCATAAACATCAAGCAAGATACGGCCACAGTGAACCAAATTCCGGTCAAATTCTTCCTCGGCGATGGGCAATAACCGCCAACACCGGTTCAGAAACCACCGTCAGAACCATGCTCAATCCAGTCGACACTCACTGTAATCCTTCACTTCTTTTTTATTTCGTATTTCCGCCACCGCTTTTCTTATTCATCCATATCCATCTTTTTTCAGAGACAACGAATCTCAAAGCTCCGTCGTTCAAGGTTCGTTTCACTCTTCAAATCATTTACTACTTCATTTAAAACAAAACATTTTCATGACATTTTTCTAACTGCAGAAACTCGTGACGGTGATAATGAAGAACCTGAGGAACTCACACAACCCAAAATAAAGCTTGCAATGTGGGTATGCATACAATACAACTCTTTCACTATTATTATTTTTTAACTTAATCGTTACTTTATTGAAATTTTAAGTAACTAATCAGTTGGCACTAGTGAAGCTAAATCGTTATTATGTGTACATAATCTCCGAATTTCGATCTAATATCATGTTATTTCGTTGTTAACTCAGGATTTTGGCCAATGCGATGCCAAAAAATGCACCGGACGCAAGCTTTCGAGGCTGGGTTTTCTAAAAGTAAGTATTTCTTATCTTTTTTCTTCATTCACTGATTATTTCTTACATTCGATGTGTGTTGTGCGCGCATGCACACACTGGTATATGCATGAGTATATAAACATAAATACACAAGTGCCTATTTATACCTTGTAACTGCATGAATTTGATGTTGAAGTATCATTGACAAAAAATCTAGTGATATTTATAACAAAAAGTTGATGATATAAAAGGTTGGTTGATGGTTGTGTGCTGTGAGCAGAAGCAATACTTAGTTTGTTTCTTTTTGTTGTTGATTCTATTATCTATGAAGATCTAATTACACTATTGAAAGATGCTTAATATAATATGTCAGTCGTACTGATTCTGATCTATCTTGTGCAGGAGTTACGCGTGAGTAATGGTTTTGGGGGAATTGCTTTAAGGTAGTTAGTCATAAATCATCTTTCTGTTGCTATGCTTCTTATTAACGTTTTTAAGTAATAATTTTTTAAAAAAGCAGAAATTTCACAGCTAGGCGAAGTGGGTGCTAAGTTGCTATCTTTGTGAAGCAATGTATTCTCTTATGACTATGGAGTAGCTATATATAGTACTATATTGCAATTCTGCAAGTTCCTTTGTTTACTGGAAAGTAATTGTTTATTGTAATTCTGTTTCGACAGTCCTGTTGGACAGCAATGTGTCTCAAGAGAAGATTACTCTTTAATCCAGAATAAAGGATTGGCCGTTGTGGATTGCTCGTGGGCACGCTTAGATGATGTGCCTTTTGCAAAGTTGCGCTGCCCTGCTCCTCGCCTCTGTATGAACTCGTACACTGACAATAATATATTTAACTTTTACTATTATTTATATTCTTGGTTTCACATAGTTTTTTTAATTATATTCTGTTCAGAGTCAAATACTGTACTGTAAAAACTAGGTTTTCAATAGTGGATATAGCACCACTATTGCAGTGGAGGGGCTAGTGGCTGACTGGCTGCCACCATCCGGCAATAACGCCACACCATGACACTTATATATTTCTTCTAGCACCATTACATTTAATCATTTTGCCTCGTTTAGGGTTGCTTCATTTTCAAGGAATGTAATGATTTGTTTTTATTGCAGTGCCATGGCTTGTAGCAGCAAACCCAATAAATTATGGTCGGCCATGTCAGCTATCTTGTGTAGAGGCCTTGTCTGCGGCTTTGATAATATGGTACCAAAATGATATTATCTATGACTATGATATCTTGTGTTTTGGGTTGTTCCTATATTTCAATCCCCTGCAAAATTTGTTACTGAAATTTAGTGTACCTTATGTTTCATGTTGGCTGATTTGCTACTACTAGACTACCATTGCTTGCAATGTACTGTACTAAACCGATCATGCTATCACCAATTTATTTTTAAATGGAACAAAGATTTAGGCCCAATTGACTCTGCAGTTGACAGCATATACATTGAATCATTCATTCTTCTTTGATGCTTGGTTGTTGAAATGAAAACTTTTGGTTTAAAGTTCTTTGCTATGATCTTGCAGTGGAGAAGAGGAAACGGCAAATCTGGTGCTTGGCAAGTTTAACTGGGGTCACTCTTTTACGTCTCTGAATAAGTATGATATGATTTATTTATTTAATTTTATATTTTCACTTTCCATCCAGATCATTTTCACTTATGATATTTAAAAGGCATAATGGTCTGCTTTGATTGACTTATCTGAGCTTATCTACTGCCGTAATTACTCGTGAGACTGCTTGAGAGAACTTATGACATATTCATAAGCTGTTTTCAGCTTACTTTCATAAGCACTCCAAAATAACTTACATGAAAACAATTTATATTTATTTAATCTTTTGTTATAGAAATATTATATCCATAAGCGTTTGTCATGATAAGTGCATATGCTATAAGCTGTGCATTCAAGATCTAATATGTAGCCTAGCATACAATTTCACTCTGTCATTCTGTTTCTATGTAAAACCACTGTGTATTCAAGAAGTTTATGATGATACATATTCATTCATGTTGTTTTGTCTCCATGAGATCCATGACTATCATGGGATTCACTGAATTTGATTCTCAATTACCTGGGACTTCAAAGACTTTTCTGTATTAAGAACTTTCTTTTAACCAATGCAGGGAATTACTGAGGGCCTATTCTAAATGCCAAAACAGTGCTGAAATTATTTCTGTTCAAAATGATTGGCTATCACAAGCACGTCAGGTTCCACGGGCTCCTCCTACTGATAGCAAAGGTATGTGTATGTTGTAATATCTATATATCTATTTTACATGACGGTGGGACTACATCGCATGAAGTCATTTGATCCCTAAATCTTAAACTCTAAATCCTTGTTAGTGATGTTTTTTTGTTGTTGTATCACAGACATATAGATACCTCTAATATATCATGAATTTTTCTCGTGTTTTTTATTCCTTGCTACATAGCAGATGTTATGCATGAAAATGAAGATAATGTTCAAAACTCTTCTGATTCTGAAGACGGGCTTCCACCTCTTGAAAGGAACGTGAATCATTTGAACATAGAGAATAGTGATGAAGAGAGTGAAGATGAGCTCCCACCTCTTGAAAGGAACATGAATCATTTGAACATAGACAATAGTGATGAGGAGAGTGAGTAGATTTGTTTTAAATCTCTGATGACACAGGATACTTCTCTAACAGTGCTGCTGTACTGGAATCAATCTGGACATGTGCTCGATAGAGTTGCTTAGCAGAAAGCTTTTCAGCTGAGATATGGATTTGTTTCCAGTTGTTTATCTTGCTAATAAACATATTTTAAAATAATTAAATATAAAATGTGATGAGTGTTCACACCTTAAAGCTTTACATGTATATCCCCCTTTAAAGCCTTAGGGTATGCTTGTTTTAATAGAAGTTAAGAAGAGAGAATTTGTGAAAATCTATGCAACCTCTCTTGCTTGGAATGAGGTGAAATAGGAGAGTAAAAAACAGTGGGACTCACTCAAATAATCTTTCTCTCCAATGTTGCGAAGAAGTTGCAATGAAAAGGAAATGAACCTGCTATATTTTGTCATTTTACAAATTTAACCTTTAGCCTTATAAAATCAAAATTGTGTTTTATTACTGTATAGTGTCTCCAATAATATGATGCTGCAAAGAGATGGAGAGATAATTCAACTAAAATCTTATTAAAACATTGTTGTGAGTTTTTTTCCCTCTATAAACTAATTTAATTATAATAATAAGTGAAGTAAATTAAAAGTTAAATATTTTAAATTAATAATTTTTAATTAAGGGTATTTTAGTAACTTTAAAAATAATTCATACTTCTTACTTCTCTATTTATTCTATATTTTATTTATACCAATCAACTTTATTTTTCACTTATTTCTTTCTCTTCACACGTTTTCTCACATCTTTCTCTCTTCACACTTTTTTCTCACAACCAAACACATCATTAGTGTTTATTTAATATTATTATGTGTAATTTTATTTAGTTTCTTCTCCAACAACCAAACATTATTTCATCAAAAAACGTCGGTTACATGGATTTATTGACAAGACATTTTTTAAAAATCAAATTACTTTTACATTTTCTTTTAAATTTTTTTTCAAGGATTGTACATAATTTATTTTTTTCATTTTCTAGGATTATTATATGTAAAAATCGTATAAATCTTTGAAAAAGAAATAATTTGAATACAAATTGTAATTTTTATGAATAGACTTTGATCTGACCTGATCAGAAGGGGATCGTTGGCTAGCCACACTCTGTTGGACTGCTGCCCGTTCACCGATGTTGAGGAGGAGGTGGGGGTGTACCTGCAAGACACTTCGATGCCAAAGTGAGAGATTGGACAGAGTGACAACAAATACAGAAAGTAGGTTAAGAATTGAATACCCGACCCTTTAGTGAAATAGGGTATTTATAGAGAGACCCTAGCGCAGGGCCAACGATCATTTGGGTTGGGTTGGATGGCCAGACCCAACCAAAGTTACTGCTAGGGCTTACGTGGCGTAGTGAAGACCAGGACGTGGTCTTCGCCCTAGTTCAACTGTCCTGTGATCTCCGGAAAGTGGGTTGACCTGCTCTTTCAGAGGTGGGCAGTTGGTTGATGACGTGTCCCCGCGGAGGGGAGCATGTGGAGAACGTGTGGAAGACACGTTGTTCTGCCCGACAGAGGGAGGTTCTGCCCGACGGGGACAACCTCTGGTTGGCTGGAGGGTGTGCTCTGCCCGACGGGGCAGTGTCTGGCTGACGGAGGCCTTGTGCTCGACAAGGGTGCTAGAAGTCCCTTTGGGCCTTTCCTCAAATATTATTGGGCTGGGCCTTCTCGTACAAGCCGGGGCGCAGACCAGAACAGGAGCCCCCTAAGTCGTAGCTCCGAAGTGAAGGAGAGAGGACTTGATGACGTCGTGCCGATGAGGAAGAGTGCGCGGGGAGAGATTCGTGTTGGACACTAGTGTCGAGGAAGTGTCCCCGTTTGACGGAGGTATGTGACTGCGCGGGGAGACGGAAGGACACGACTCTTTTCACATGCCACGTGTCAAGCGCTCAGAGGCCCAAGTGGGGCGGCTACCCTAGGGTACTCGAGTGCTTAGGGACGCCTCGAGTCTCGCGCGGAGGTTATTATTACGAGGGTCCTGGCCCATTCATCATTTTTCGCTTCTGCTTCCTTTCTCACGTGAGGATTGATTTGTGCGTGTCTGCTCGCCAACGTCGTCATAACAACCGCTGCGTACTCCGCCGTACCTGTAATCCAGTAAGTCTTCTCTCCTTGCCTTTTTTTTTTCTTATTTCGTACTTTGGAACTAGCGTCGGGGCGTGTTAAATTCCCCGAGGAGGCAGGTTGATCTCCGCCGCCTCCGACGGCGTTTTGTAGTTTTTTAGATGAACGCGCCGAGGACATGAGAGGGGTAGTTTGAGTATCCCGGACACATACATTGGTGTCAAATGAATGCCCCGGAGACGGATGATAACGTTGGATAAATTCCCCGGGGATGGAGGTTAGTGTTGGATGAATTCCCCGAAGATGGATGTTAAGGGTAGATGAGTGCCCCGGGGACGGAGGATAGGACTAGTTAAATGTCCCGTGGACGTATAACCGAGGACGATGAAGGATGTAGGATGAATCCTCCGAGGACGACTGCCCATATGGTCTTCTTCCGTCGTCGTGGATGTTGTCCCCGTCGCACTTTCACTTGACTTGCGGTGGAAGGGTGAATTTGATATTGATTATCGAATTCACCGTTACCTTCTGCTTTTCAGGTGTAAATGACTTCGTGGGTCCCGGGGACTATGGTCGTAGATGAAGAACCAGAAGCCCCCTCTATTAATGAGCGTGTCCGCCCGGTGAGGAATGAGTGACTGAGGAGCCTCTATCCACCCCTTCATATTTCGCCATAGAAACGATCGGGGCTTTTGCTACTGTCGAGGATAAGCGTGAAGACGACCCCATAAGCTGACAGGTGTACCGACCACGAGAAGACCATCGTATATGCTCAATTTATGGGAGGATGCGATTCCCCATGTACGAGTTCTGTTTTCGGGAGGCCGGGCTCAGATTATCGTTCACGAACTTCCAATTGGGGGTCTTCAACTGGCTGCGGTTAGCCCCCTCACAGTTGCATCCTAACGCCATAGCCTTTATTCGAGCGTTCGACCTCGTTTGCAGATATCTGGAGATCGGGGCCATATTGTCGCTGTTCTTTCGCCTTTTCCACCTGCAGCGGCAGACGGTGGATGACCGGAACAGATGAGGGGGAGGCATTCTGGCCATCCCTCGCGTCGGTCTCCGAGAACTGGGATGTCCCCACTTAGTTCCCGCCGTTGGTGGCGGGAGCGTGGGTTAGGTTGTGAACAACATCGTCGTGGTGTGAGCTAGACATGATCGTGAAATATTGAGGAAAACTTTGGTTCTCTGCTCGGAGGAACTGGGAAGTTTATGTTCCCACAGACGACGCCACTGATCTGACCTGATCAGAAGAGGATCGCTGGCTGGCCACACTCTATTGGACTGCTGCTTGTTCATCGGTGTTGAGGAGGAGGTGAGAGGTGTACCTGCAAGACACTCTGATGCCAAAGTGAGAGATTGGACAGAGTGACAACAAATATAAAAAGTAGGTTAAGAATTGAATACCTGACCCTCTAGTGAAAGAGGGTATTTATAGAGAGACCCTAGCGCAGGGCCAACGGTCATTTGGGTTGGGCTGGATGGCCAGGTCCAACCCAAGTGACTGCTAGGGCTTACATGGCGTAGTGAAGACTAGGACGTGGTCTTCGCCCTAGTTCAACTATCCCGTGATCTCCGGAAAGTGGGTTGACCTGCTCTTTCGGAAGTGGGCAATTGGTTGATGACGTGTCCCCGTGAAGAGGAGCACGTAGAGAACGTGCCTTCCACACGTTGTTCTGCCCGACAGAGGGAGGTTCTGTCTGACGGGGACAGCCTCTAGTCGGCTGGAGGGTGTGCTCTGCCCGACGGAGACCTTGTGCTCGACAAAGGTGCTAGAAGTCCCTTTAGGCCTTTCCTCAAATATTATTGGGTTGGGCCTTCTCGTTGAAGTCAGGACCCAGACGACTAGAAACAAAGCTGATACAATGGGTTTGATGGTTTGTTCAAAAATATTCAAAAGTTTATTTTTAGGTTTTAATAACTTTATTTTTTATTTTAACGAATCTATTAGGTGGATCAATTTGACCGATGATGCAACTTTCACATTATTTGATGTGATACTTTTTAATGTGGTGATCTCCACACATTTTTTTGGTATGCTCCTTTTCAAATGAGAGAGCGAACTTATAAGGACACATCAATGAAGTAAGTTGAAGCATTTGTAGATATTGAACAGACGAGTTGTAGCAGATACTATAAATGTGTTCTTTATTATGACATCCTCTTTTTTGTTTTTGTTTTCTTCTCATATAAAGGAAAAACGTTTTGTAGACAGAGACACAAAATTCACAATTATTTCTACTATGTGATATCTATTACAAGAGAAAAACAAGGAAATTAATAAGTCCCGCTAGTTTTATAAGGAAACTCTATTGATGTGTCTCACTTAATTTATTATCTGTTTTTATCTCTTATAAATGGAATACTAAATTGAAGGTAGATAAGTGAAACAAAGTAAAATTCTTACTTCCAATATTAAATTTCATTGAATAATGAAACAAATCTTAAAAAAAACTATCTCATAAAAGTTTAAAATTAATTTCATTTTTAAAATAAATTTATTAACAATTCTAATAAATTTATGTTTATTTAAATTAGGGTAATGTTAAAAATTGTGCATTGATATATGTAGGTATTTTTTAATTAAAAATTGTGAATTGATATATATATATATATATATATATATATATATATATATATATATATATATATATATATATATATATATATATATATATATATATATATATATATATATATATATATATATATATATATATATATATATATATATATATATATATATATATATATATATATATATATATATATATATATATATATATATATATATATATATATATATATATATATATATATATATATATATATATAGACACACACGATTTTTTAACATATGACCTTAAGTCATAAATTGGCATTACTCTTTAAAGTTGTTAAAATATGAGAGACTAAAAGACATT